GGTATGGAATGATTTGCTGTGTGATGTTGTGACTCATAGAGTATCTCCCCAAAATCTATAAAATCTCACTGAACAAAGGACCAGGACTCCCTCCCTGGAACCGCTGCGTCTAATGGTTGTGAGTCCAGGCTTGAGCTTGCAATAAAAACTCTTGTGTGCTTGCATCGGATTCGGCTCCTGGAGGTCTATTGGGGTCCCACGAATCTGGCATAACAATATTAAAACCAGGACCTTACAAATGCTAGGTGAGTATTCTTAACACTGAATTATATCTCAAACCCCGTGTATCTCCTTAGATAAAGAATGAAGTTTTTTGTCCATTTTTAAAAACTCAGGTCCTTTTCTTTTTATTGTTGTAAGCATTGCTTATATATTCTGGAGACAAGCCCTTTACCATACATTATTATTATTTTTTTAGTTATAGACGGACACAATACCTTTATTATTTTATTATTTTTATGTAGTGCTGAGGATCAAACTCAGGGCCTCACATGTGCTAGTTGAGTGCTATACCACTGAACCACAACCCCAGCTTATATATATTATTATTATATGATATATATGATATTTTCTCACCATGGTTCATCTTTTCATATTATTAATAGTATCATTTGAAAAGTACAAGGTTTTAATGTTAATAAAGTTCAATTAACAATTTTTTTGGTCTTAAGAATACTTTGAATAATAGCAGTTTTCATCTAAGAGAGCTGCTTTTCTCCCCTGAAAAGGTGAAATTGGGTAATGTTCAATCCCAGAGCTACATAGGCCCTAGAATACTGTTTTCCAGTCCCAAAGAAAGAACTTGGAGGACTCAGCAGAGAGGTTATGGACATTTTATTACTCACTCATTGGCAGCGGCAGGTCTACACCATACCTACAAGCAGGGGCATCTATATGTGATAGGTTGCATACTCACTATACAGGTGGCTTTCTTCAGATGTTTATGAGTACATCCCTTTACTTTACAACCACAGTCACTCTTCAGATTCTCTCCTAAAGACAGCAGATAAGGAAAGTGCCCAGCTCCCCCTCTCCTTTTCTTTGTTACCACATTCTTTTAGAGACTTTCTTATCTTCCTGAAAGCTATTCAAGGAACTGATTAGTATTTAACTCAACAGACAATAACAGGAAATGTTTTTTTAATTGTCACAAGTTGGGGACTGGGAATGTGGCTTGGTGGTAGAACACTTACTTAGCTTTTACGAGGCCCAAGTTTAATCCTCAGCACCACAAAATAAAAAAATAATAATAATTGTCACAACTTGATGCTAAAAAGAGTTTAGAGGCTTTTTGCTAAAACCACTTGGGCCCGCAAATGTAAAAACCTTGGCATCTTTGTCTCCATTTTGCATCTGTCTCCTTTGCTTTGAATGAATCGTGTTGGATTTCAGAAACAGTAGGTCTGATTAATAAGAATCGAGTCCCATGCAGTGGTGAATGCCTGTAATCCCAGTGATTCAAGAGGCTGAGGCAGGAGAATTGCAAATTTGAGACAAACCTCAGTAATTTAGCAGTTTAGTGAGACTCTGTCTCAAAAAAATAATGAATAAATAAAGAGGAGGTGCTGGGGTTCAGTCCCCAGTACCAAACGAAACTAAACAAACAAAAAACATCTTGAGATGTGTTAAAAAACTGCCCCCCAAGCATTGGCAACTTTCTTATCACGGCTGACAAGTGACAAGGCTCCATCTGACCAATCCTGAGATAATGATGGAATAGACCACAGATTGACCAAGACTGCTTGACTAAGCATATTGCTTGTCTATATAATCTAGGAGCTCATGTCAGTACCCCTGACGACAGGGCTAAGAATGCTGCCTGTTGTCTTCCTGGTACAGCTATCCTGATTAAAGTTCCTTTCCTGCTTTTCACCATTACTTATTCTGTTTGGTTTTTGGGTGAATGGCCACTCCTGATTTGTTGTGACCCACCCAAAGCGGGGCCTCTGGCATAAGTCTTTAGTAATATTATCTATAAATATTATTTATATTCTATAAAGCACAAAACAGTCTATCACTGCAAAGATTTTTTTTCTGTTTTTCCTTAGAAGTTTTAGTTTTATCTCCTACCTCTAGATGTATAGTCTGTTTTGAATTAAGTATTAGATATAGTATGAAGTAAGGTTTTTTCTTTCTTTTGCATGTGAATATCCAATTAATATGCCATCATTTATTGAAAGAACTACACTTTACTCATTGAATTTCCTTGACATCTTTATTGAAAATTGACCAACCATATATATGAGTGCTTTTTGGGGGGTTCTTTATTCTGTTTCATGGATTTTTTTTTTCCTTCAGTGCTTGGGGACCAACCCAAGCCCTCACACATTCCAAGCACATAATCTCCCACTAAGCTATACCTCCATCCCCCTGTTCCAGTGATCTTTGTCTACCACTATATTAATTTGATGGTTTTATTTACCATGAAGTCTCATGATAATTGTAAAGTTGTTATAAAATGTTTAAAATTTGGCAAAATTAAAACAATATACATTGTTTTGGTTATACTAGAGCCTTTGTGTTGTAGGGACAGATGAGGCAAGGCACCGAAGACAGCAGGAAACAGTTGGGCTGCAGCCAAGTTCAGAGGGCACAGCTTTTGCTGTAATCAATCAATCCCCTGAACCTGAGTTCAGGTAGTTTCAGAGTTTTTATACCCAGCATCTAAGGGGAAGGGCTCGGAAGTTCACAGTCTGCAGAAGTTTTTATAAAAGCAGCTTTTTCTTTCACTGTTTTGGGCAAGTTAACCCTTCAAAGACAACACCTGAGAAGGGGAGAGATTCTTCTCCCTTTCTTCCCTCCCCCTGCCAGCTGTTACCATGGAACCCAATCGGTAACTTCTCTTATCTTAGAAAGATAGACGGGCTGGGGTTGTGGCTTAGTGGTAGCGCGCTTGCCTGGCATGCATGAGGCACTGGGTTCGATTCTCAGCACCACATACAAATAGATAAAATAAAAGTCCATCAACAACTTAGAAAAAAAAAATATATATATATATATACACACACATACACACACACACATACATCTTTGTGAAGCCCAGCTCAAGGCCAGATGCCTTGTTAGCACATTTCAATAAATTACTATACTGGATATGTTTGTGAAAAACTAGTAAGGGGGTGTCCAGCACCTGGAGTGTTGATATCTTCCTGGCCAGTGGCCAAGTAAAACAGGGCAACACGAAAATAGGAAGTTTATCTATATTGAACTCTTTTGCAGAAACTCTTTTGCTGACAATCCCCAAATTAGCCATGGTGAAGATTTCTGGAGAAGCCCAGTTGAGACTTTTCTGTGGAGAAAGGGGGTGCCACTACATTTGCAATTCCATTTAAATTTTGGAGTTGACTTTCCAATTCTGTTATTTTGATCGAGATTGCATTGAATCTATAGATAAATTCAAGCACTGGAGAGGCTTTCTTAGTTTAGTGTCATTAAATGCTGGAATCTTATAGTATTAATCAACAACTCTTCTTTTGATTCTGGCTCATTAAACAGCTGGATAGACCCCAGAGTGTTGATAGGTGCCTGTAATCCCAGTTTCTTGAGAGTCTAAAGCAGGAGAACTGAAAGTTCCAGGCCAGCCTTGGCAACTTAGTGAGATCCTGACTCAAAATAAAATGAAAAGGGCTGGGAATGTAGTTCTGTGGAAGAGTGCTGACTGCAAAAAAAAAAAAAAAAAAAAAAAAAGAAAAGAAAAAAAAAGAAAAAAAAAGGGAAAAACAAAACAACAACAACAACAAAACAGCACCAGCAACACCACCTCCAAGTAGTTACTTTCCTAGAGAGAATGCAGCAAGTTGAGGATGTGAGCAGCTAATCTTTGCAAAAGACAATTTTCTCTGTAAAATTATATCACAGCATTCTGGTTGTAGCAGTTTTTTTTTCTTTTTTCTTTTCTTTCTTTCTTTCTTTCTTTTTTTTTAAAGAATCTGATTGATATGAGTTTACCTAGAACAACAGTGTCACTTAGTAATGGATCAACAAATCAGATTCTGAGTTTTTGAAATCGATAAGGTATCCTGAGTGGTGGGAATTCAACAATTTAATGCCGGGAGCCAGCAGATCTTTTCAGGTCATACTCTGCCTCCTGCCCAGCTATCTTTGAAAAACAAAGACAGCTAGCACTCACTGAGGATATCCTAAGTAGAAGTCATTTGTACCTATGCTTAATTACAACCCTATGACATATTTGACAAGTTGTTTAGAAAAGTAGAATTGGCCATGTGCAAACTTTGTTATTTTCAATAGAGGTAGTTAAAGTTAAAAGTCAGTACATTTAGAAGGCAGAAGATATATAGGGCTGGTGGGGATGTAGCTCAGTGATAGTCGCTTTCCTAACATGCCAACAAGGCCATGGGTTCAACCCCCAATATTGCAAAAGAAAAAGAAAAAAAAAAAAAAAAAGAAGACACAATGTAAAGGTAGTTGATCAAAACACATCTGTGTTTTTCAAAAGTAAGAGTATACTGAGGCAGGATATTTATTTAGAAGGAAATGCAATAATCTGGTATTTTTCATTTATTATATGACACTTAATTTGTAATTTACCCTCCCCCCACCAGAAAACTTCCCAGGCTACTTCAGGGACCAGGGACATCACCATGACTTGAGAAGTGGTTAGAAATGCCAATCTTCAGACCCCAGCCCAGATCTAGATTCAGAATGGGTACTGAACACCATGGTCAGAGTGACTAAACGCATATTGCAGTTGTCAAAGCTCTGCTCTAACCTAGTATACTCCAGAGGCAGCATTTTGCTGAACAGAATTCCTAGCACGTGTCCCGGTCCCTGAAGTCCTTCACCGGGTGGCAACCCGCCAATCTCCCCGCCCTTCCCTCAGCTGCCTAGTGTTGTTCCAAGCTGGGGTTAAACTCCGAGCTCCGCGGGAAGAAGGTCCTGAGCTTGCAGGCCGTTGTGGGGGCAGTGCTGGGAGGCAGGGCCCAGGCCTGCCCAATGGACTCTCGCGGAGGCTGGGCGGGACTCTTATTTCAGCCGCCTTCAAGACTGCAGGCGCGTCACACGTCCGGGACTCAGGATGTGGTATTTTGCTCGCGCGCCTTGTGTGAACGCTGCAAAGAACATCAAGCTTCTAGGACTTTGGAACAGGCCTGCTGCCTTCATGTCCACTCTGCTGATCAATCAGCCCCAGTATACTTGGCTGAAGGAGCTGGGGCTCCGCGAGGAAAACGAGGGCGTGTATAATGGAAGCTGGGGCGGCCAGGGAGAGGTATGCGGCCCCTGGAGAAATCTCTGCCGCTGGGGTTTGCTGGGGAGGCTGGGCAGGCTCTGCCTTACCCGACTCCCGCTGGCCCAGGCGGCGGTTGTACTGGATGGGACGTTTGGAAGCTACACAGAGTGCCTTTACAAGTAAAACCAAAACCAAAAATAGAACAATCCTTAGATTTTTAGGTCTTTGTGTACCGTGAAGATTCGAAGCCATTTTGGAGCTGGTAGGGGGCTAGATCCACTAATACTTAAAACCTTATGGCAGCGTCTTGCTTGGGATTTATAGTGAGACGCCACACACTTTGCTGAGCAGTTGATCTTAATTATGAGCATGACTGTAGCTCTTAAAAAGTAACGGTGTAGTTTTATGTTGTCCTTTTTATTGGTCTTTTCTTTTTGGTACTGGAATTGAACCCGGGGTACGTCCCCCATGAACTATGTCTCCAGTTCCTTTTTATTTTTGAGACATGGTCTCACTAAGTTGCTGAGGCTGACATGGAATTTGGGGTCCTCCTGCCTCAGCCTCCCAAGTGACTGGAATTACAGGCGTACACTACCGCGCCAGGTTTATGTCCTCTTTCTGAACTCCGGTGGACAAGGTTTTACTTGCTAAAATCGTGTGAACTTCTTTAAAAATGGGATTTCCAGCATTTCTCTATTACGCAGAGTTTGACACCGTGCCTGGCACCCTTAGTCTTCAAAAATATGTTTTATAGAATGCAATGAAAAGGTAAGGTTATTATGCTGCTTCCCCTCCCCCCCCCTTCTGGGAAAAATGTGGCCTACAAAAGGAAGCTTTTATAGGAAAATGTTATGTAACCTTCAGTTCAGGTGACTATTTAATAAATAAACTGCTTTGATAGATGAAATATATTTTTCATTTATCTGTGGCAGTAGGAGATGCAGGTGATTTTAATTGTTCCCCAGATTTCATTCAATGGTAGTTTCGTTTTTTTTTTTTTTCCCTAATCATTAAGCTCTTCCATTAAATACTCTCTCCTGATGGCCTTTTAATTGTACGTTGGTTTTTTTTTTTTTTCCCTAATCGAAACCTCTCCAGTTTGTGTGGACATAGGCTTTTGCCATAGTCATCTAGAGTTTACTATTTCATCTTCAGACCAGAGGGTGGGCAGAATAAGGGAGAGAAGGAATGAGTAAAACTTTGTTAGTTTGGTCTGATAATTGAAAAAAATTGAAATAACTTGTCACATTAAGGCCTTTGTTTGTATACCTAATATTTAGATGGCAAGGGTGGGTTTTAGGGAAAAGTGGTTCCTAATGAAAGGCCTATCTCTGTAGAGTCTGTGTTCCCCCCGCCCCACCTTTGTACTGGGACAAGTCCAGGGTCTCACATACATGAAGCAATTGCTCTGCCACTGAACTACATCCTCAGCCCTTTAAATTGTTGAGAGAGGATCTTGTGATCTTGTTCAGTTACCCAGGCTGACTTCTAACTTGTGATTAGTACCGGGGATTACAGGTGTGTGCCACCATGCTGTAGAGTGGTTTTGTCACAGGGCAACATGTCTCTGGATAGGGGTGTTAGGAAGGGAAATTTAACTCCGAACCAGCAGGGTTCTTGGCATATGTGACAGTAAAGACTTTTGGCATGAGCTAGACAAAGGCATAGACAGAGGTTTATTTAGAAAGTGGATACACATTCAAGGGACAATGCAGGCTATCTTGAGAGTGAGAAGCCCGGCCTTGGACTGGGGGTCCAATATTTATAGAAGGGCTGTATCAGTGGCTGGACTGGAGGTGGAGCCAGGGTGGAGCTGCATAATTTTGTGCCATTTTTCCTTGTACTTGCATAGTTCCCTCATTTACAAGGGCACGAGCCAAAGGCCTGTTGGTTAAAATTTACAGCTGTGCTTTCTGCATCTCAGTAGCTTATGGTTTTCTTTTAAGACTTAATTTCTCTCTCTCTTTATACTGAATCGGACTCATTTTAATTGTAACAATGTAAAGTATTCTATCTTGGACATTGTATCTGCTCCCTCTCCCCATGTTTCTTCTTCAGTCTGTTCCCTCAATTTGGAAGGAATTGTGATTTCTGTAAATAATGGTCATTTTTTTTGGGTTTTGTTTTTAGGTTATTACAACCTATTGTCCTGCTAACAATGAACCAATAGCAAGAGTCCGGCAGGTAAGCTTTTAAAATTCAAACTGTTCACAGGGAGTTTTTGCAAACTTTCTTTAGAGATAGAATCCTATTAGGCAGGTCAAGAGCAATACAAATATACAAATGCAAAGAATAAGGTGTTTCTGTTTCATTTGACATTAAAGAATGTCTGGGAGAGACTGTCTACTTTTAGGGTGGGTATGGCATGTCCTAGAGAAGGTGAACCCTAGAGAGGACTAAGGAGTTTCATTTAACACCTCAATCTCCTGAGGGTTTTTGTTAGAATATAGTTTCTGATTCCTTAAGTCTGGGTTGGAGCCTGAGGTCTTCGCTTCTAACACAGGTCAGGTGATGTGCTCAGATAAGACCAGTGGACCTTGCTTTGAAAATCAAGGTTTTAAAGCAGAACTGGAGTCCATCCTATCTTCCTGGGTTCTTGCCAGATTTTGAAAGCTTGGACTGTAAAAATCATCCTCAATCATATATCTCAGGGATATCCGGAGACTTTCCAGTTTGTATCCAAAAATGTCTCTGTGTTCTTGAAGAAGGTCATCACCTTCCTTTACTGTTTCCTTTTTCTCTCCTCCTAATTCTTTTTTTTTTCCCCCCTCCTAATTCTTAATGTAGGCCAGTGTGGCAGACTATGAAGAAACTATAAAGAAAGCAAGAGAAGCTTGGAAAGTCTGGGCAGATGTAAGTATGTTATTTGTGATCTAAAGCACAGAAGAGGTCCTTTCTTAATTGTGATGAGATGAACAAACATCTGATCAGCAAGTCACTGCCTCTCACTGAAACATGGGCTCCTTGAGGCTGTGATGCTGAAATTGGGGCAGCAATTTGTCTCCACTCAATTTCTGGGAATTTTCTGTGTTTGGCATTCATTGAATGCATAATTTTATTTGAAAAATAAAAAAAAGCTTTTTATTTAAAAAAAATTTTTAGTTGTAGATGGACACAATACCTTTATTTTATTTATATTACATTACATTATTTAATTTACATTTACATTATTTTATTCATTTACATTATAATATATTATTTACTTATTTTTTTAATGTGGAGCTGAGAATCGAACCCAGTGCCTCACATGTGCTGGACAAATGCTCTACCACTGAGCTACAACCCCAGCCCCTGAATGAGTTATTTTAAATGGATTAAAATTTTGTACTTATGCAGTATGGACTTGAGCTACAAATATTATCCTCTGAAGTTATAAGTAAGCAAGTAGAAAAAGAATGGAAGATCTTTTTAAAAAAATATTTATTTGTTTCTCTTTGTCCCTCCTGCCAGATTGACCTGGGAAGGATGCAGTAGGTCAGTATGCCTGGCCTCAAGAGCAACCACAACATCTCTTTCTCAGGGCAAGGGGTTGTAGGCAGAGTCTATCTTCCCAGTCTAAATCTCTAGCAGGGGTCAAATTAGCAAACATGAGAACTGTGTCTCGTCTGGGCGAGGCCACACTGACCCAGTGGGGGTGGCTCCTGAGGAGGGGAAAGTAAAGGAGAACAGGGATAGCTTGGATTTCTCCATTTCCCTTTGCCCTCCATCTTCAGAGTACTTTGTCATATAAAGGGGAGGCTATAAATGCCATCTTCTGAGGTTGTCCTGAGAGTTGAGTTTATTACTTAAAGTGCTTATAGGAGAGTCTGATATATAGCAAGTTCCAGTGTGTTATAAAACCATATGCTGCTGACATTGAGACTGCTGAGCCTCAGTGTTTTCTCTGAGTTAGTAATTGCAAAGGGAGTTGGGGCTGTGGCAGGTAGGAGGGGGCAGACTCCTGGGTTGTATACACAGTTGTCCTCAGCTAAGATCATCTTTCTGCAAAACATGGAAAACATCTTTCCTCTACTTTTATTCTGGATGTAAGTAGGCTGAGGGTTCCACTTTATGCAATAAAAAATAAGCAGAAAAATACCACTTATACAAGTTAACAGTTTCCTAAGTAAAGTTCACATATCTGAGTGATGTCCCAAACAGTATCATTTAAGATTACATTTTCTAATTGTAGAAATAATACATCTTATTAAAAAAAAAAAAAGATCTCCGCATGGTGGTACACACCTATAATTCCAGCTTCAAATAGGGAGGTGAGGGAGAAAGATTTCAAGTTTGAGGCCAGCATGGGCAATTTAGCAGGACCCTATCTTAAAATTTAAAAAAGGGCTGAGGTTATAGTTTAGCAGCAGAGCACTTGCTTATCATGCAAGAGTCTTTGGGTTTAATCCCTGGCATGCCACCCCCCACCAAAAAAAAACTTGTTGTTAGTATTCTTTTGCTGTGACAAAATACTAGAGAAAATCAACTTAAAAGAAGAAAAATTTGGGGCTGGGGTTGTGGCTCAGTGGTAGAGCGCTTGCCTCACATGTGTAAGTCCCTGGGTTCGATCCTCAGCACCACATAAAAATAAATAAGTGAAATAAAGGTATTGTGTCCAACCATAAGTAAAACAAGTACAATAAATATATTAAAAAAAAAAAGAAGAAAAATTTGTTTTGGCTTATGGTTTCAGAGGTTTCATTCCATGGCCTGCTGGCACCATTTTTTTATGTAAGTCAGAGCATCGTGGTGGGGAACACATGATGGAGCAAAGCTATTCACCTTGCAGTCAAGAATTAGAGAAAGAGGCAGGGCCCAGGTTTCTCTTTCAAGGGCATGACTCCAGTGATCTACGTCTAACTAGGCTCTAGTCCTAAAATTTCTCCCACCTCCCAATAGCATCACTAACTGAGAATCAAGCCTTCAACATGTAAGCCTTTGGAGGACATTTCAGATCCAAAGTGTAGTAAAATAATCATATTGGCCAGGCATGGTGGCATACTCCCTGTTGCTCAGGAGGCTGAGGCAGGAGGATCAGCAGTTCAAAACCAGCATCAGCAAAAGTGAGACACTAAGTAACTCGGTGAGACCCTGTCACTAAATAAAAATACAAAATAGGGCTGGGGATGTGGCTCAATGGTCAAGCGCCCCTGAGTTCAGTCCCTGGTACTTCCCCCAACCCCTGAATCCCAACCTCCTCAATACAGAGAGGCCATTTGAATTGTGTTTTTTGGTGCATTTTCTTCCAGGCTTGTGTATTTACTCCATAGTTGTGATTATTATACATATATATATATATATGGCGGGTGGAAAATTTTGTGACCTGTGTTATCATTGCATACCAGTCTAAAGTACTGTACAATTTTTAAGTTAATACATATACTTTAAAAAAATTAATACTTCATTTTTAGATTGGTTTTAGGTTTACAGAAATATGAACAGAAAGTGTATATTTCATGTTTATTCCTCTTCCCAGGTTTTTTGCAATATTAATATCTTGCATTATTGATGAGCCAATATTTCTACATTATTATTAATTAAAGTATATAATTTAGGGTTCATTATGTATACATTGTTTTGGATGCTACTGCAATGTCACTTTTTTTTTTTTTTTTGTGGTGGTGGTTTTACTAAGTTGCTCAGGCTTGCCTCAAATCTGGGATCTTTTTGCCTCAGCTTCCTGAGTAGCTGGGTAGATGTAGGTATAACTTTACTTGTCTTCTGACTAGAAGCATCTAGTGTATTACCCAGGGTAAATACAAGCAGTTTGGGGTGGGGGGACAGGAAGTTTGTGTAATCTTTTTCTGAACTGGCTTTTAAGGCTCTGCTCTTTGTGGGGGTGGTTGGTATCTGACATATTGGAGATCTTTCTTGAATATTGTGCTGTACTTTTTTGGATTGGACCTCATTAGTAGTCTACTCTGTGTCTAATGTGCCTTCTCATGCTGCTGATGCTTTTTAGATCTCCTAATAGAGTGGGGTTGCTAAGTGACAATAGGTCACTTTCCTAGGTGACAGTAAGAGAGCCAGTTGGCGGTCCTGCTAGTTAGAGTTTGAGTTAAGCAACTGAGTTCAAAGTTTAGGGTAGAATCTGAGCTTTTCCAGATTGCCTCTGGGGCTCTTGCTGGTAGGGCAGTGACTTAGAGAGGTAATGGATGCCTCAAACAAGAATAGACCAGAATTTGCTGCCCTTCTGTCTTCAAGCTTCCCTCTTGGATCCTCCCTCCTGGGGCTGCCTCCTTTCTGCTGGCCTTGCATGTGTTAGGACAAACCACTGTTTCATTTAGGTTTTTTTTTTTTTTTTTTGGTACCAGAGATTGCTTAGCCTTAGGTACCAGGGTTGCTTAGCCACAACCTCAACCATATATATAATCTTTTTTTTTTTTTTTGGTGGTGGTGCTGGGGATGAAACCCAGGGCCTTGTACATGTGAGACAAGCACTCTACCAACTGAGCTGTGTCCCCAGCCTCCTTTTTAATATTTTATGTAAATACAGGGTCTCATTAAATTGCTTAGGGCCTTGCTAAATTTCTGAGGCTGGCTTGAAACTTGTGATTCTCCTGCCTCAGCCTTCTGAGCTACTGGGATTACAGGCATGCACCATTGTGCCTGGCTCATTTACTTTACTTGAGTTAAGCCTGAGATTTTTTCAGAGGGAATATTCTTCTTAAGGGGAAATGAAATCAAAATATGAATATATGGTAAGGCAGTTTATAAAACCGATTTCCTCTTACCTAAAACCAACCACAGAGAACGTGGTCAGGAATACCGAGACTTGCTGCTTTGCTTCATGAGTCAGTTTTGGCCCAGTTTTTGCTCCTCTTCATCCCTGGTGTGTCCTTAGTTTTCTTTCATTTTGGTGAGAGTTGGAATCTCTCCCATCCCTTGAGGACAGGAACTGTTAATGAACCATTTTCTCCTAAATGTAGAAATACCAGATAACTGGTAGCTTTTTAACATGGGTATCTGTTTTTATTTTCCCCAAAGTCATTTTTTCTGTTTTAGGGGGAAGAACTGGGGATTGAACTCGGGGGCACTCAATCACTAAGTCACATCCCCAGTCCTGTTTTGTGTTTTCTTTAGAGATAGGGTCCCACTGAATTTTTTAGCTTTTGCTGAGGCTGGCTTTGAAATCCTGATTCTCCTGCCTCAGCCTCCTGAGATGCTGGGATTACAGGCATGTGCCACTGTGCCCAGCTCCCCAGTCCATTTTTGTATTTTATTTAGAGACAGTATCTCACTGAGTTGCTTAGTTCCTTGCTAAGTTGCTGAGGCTGGTTTTGAACTTGCAATTCTCCTGCCTCCACTTCTTGAGCTGCTGGGATTATGGGTCTTTTTTTTTTTTTTTTTTTTTTTGAAACGAGTTCTCGCCATGTCATAGGCTGCTCTCAAACTGTGGGCTCAAGTGACTTTCCCACCTCAGCCTCCTGAGTGCTGGGATTATAGGTATGCACCACCACTCATGGCTTCTCAAATTCTTACCTAATCTTTTCCTCAATGCTTTCAGTTCCCCACATATGACTATATTTGATGTTCATTCTACATGTGACTTCATTAGTGCAGGGATGAGGACAGTTGGTGCCTATCTGGGAGTCTTGCTAAGTTGATCTGACTGGCTTTGAACTTGTCATCCACCTGCCTTAGCCTCTATAATAGCTGGGATTACTTGGGAGTCGTAAGCCAGCATATCTGACTAGTTGAAACATTATTAAATGCAAGCCTTTGCTAGGAAATATATAGGAGCTGTGCTAATTTATTTAACATTACAAGTTCTTGTTTCCTGTTTATAAAAGAGTGCATGTATTATAAAAATGACAAACTTTTATTTTAGTAGGGTGACCCGCAAAACACTGGCTCCTCCTCTTAAATCATCCTTGTCCAATAGTTGCACTTGCATCTATCTGGATTTTCAAGTCAGAGACCTGAGAGTCATCCTTAGTTCTTCTATTTTCCCTATTTCTTGGACTTGTCTTAGATCTGTTCCATTAGTGTGTCCTGTTAGTTCTACTTCCAAAATTAGATCTGGAGTTCACTTTGTCTCCCTTGGTATCACTGTAGTGTTAAGACCAAGTCACTTTGATCTTTTGCCCTGGCTACTGTAATGTGTGTGTGTGTGTGTGTGTGTGTGTGTTACTGAGGGTGGAACCCAGGTCTTCATGCTAGGCAGGTGCTCTACCCTTGAACTATGTGCCCAGGACTTCTTAAAAATTTGACACAGCGTGTTGCTAAACTGCCCAGGCTGACCTCCAACTTATGATCTTCCTGCTTCAGTTTCCTGAGTAGCTGTGATTACAGGTGTGAAACCCTGTTCCCAGCTATAATATGTTCTTAACTGGTATATCCCTGCTTCTGTTCTTTCCCCTTCAATTTATTTTCTATTTGTCAGATAGTGATATTGAAAGATAAAGGAAATCATCTTATTCTGTACTTTAAAAAAATTAAAGATTTTTGCATTGTACCAGGAGTAAGATTCCAACTCCTTAAAAGCCTCTGAGAGTTTTAGATATACTGGCTTTCCAGCCAGCCCTTTTTGTTTTCCATGATCCCTCTTACACATTTTTTCCTTTCTCTGGAAGAATCTTCCTGTGGCTAAATGTCTCCCATTCTTCTGGTTTCAGCTTAAGTTTTACCTCCTTAGATATTTTCCCTGTGAACTTTTTAGGTAAAGCATCTTGTCCATTTACTCAGTGTGGTGAGTACATGAGTGGAGTACATGAGTGTCTTCTGTGTTTCACTATCTTTTCCCCCCCTTTATCTTTATAGCCCTGATGACAATTTGTAATCTCTCTCTCTCTCTCTCTCTCTCTCACCCTCGTACTAGGGATGAATCCAGGGGCACTTAACCACTGAGCCACATCCCTGGCCCTTTTGTTTATTATTATTATTTTTTAAATATATGACAACAGTGGAATGCATTACAATCCTTTTTACACATATAGAGCACAATTTTTTGTATCTCTGTATATAAAGTATGTTCACTTTAATTTATGTCATTATGCATTACTTTTTTTTTTGCATCACAATTTTTTTTATATATTTTTTAAGTTTTTGACAGACCTTTATTTATTTATTTATATTTGGTGCTGAGAATCGAACCCAGTGCCTCACACATGCCAGGCAAGTGCACTACTGCTGAGCCCCAGCCCCAGCCCAACATTAAAATTCTTTTTTTTTTTTAATATTTATTTTTTTAGTTGGACACAATATCTTTTTTAATTTATTTTTATGTGGTGCTGAGGATCGAACCCAGGGCCTCACATGTGCTAGGCGAGCTCTCTATCGCTGAGCCACAACCCCAGCCCCCTAACATTACAATTCTTAATACACATATGTACCACAATTTTTCATATCTCTGTTTGTATATAAGGTATGTTGACACCCAGTTCAAGTCTTCATACATGTACTTTGTATAATGATGTCCATCACATTCCACCATCCTTGCTAATCCCCTTCCCTTTCCCTCCCACCCCTTTTCCCTATCTAGAATTAATCTAATCCCTGGCCCTTTTTTATTTTTCATTTTGAGACAGGGTCTCATTAAGCTGCTTAGGGCCTCATTAAGTTGCTAAGGCTGGCTTTGAACTCACTATTCTCCTGCCTCAGCCTCCTTAGCTGCTGGGATTACAGGCATGTGCCACCATGCCCTGCAACAATTTGTAATATTTTGTTGTCTTTTCACCCCTGCAACTTCCAGTAGATATGAGCCCTATGAGTGCCTTGCATTTATTTTAGCTGCTGTGTTTAGCCATAGCACAGTCTTGATGTAATCAAAAAGTCTTCTTTGGGCTGGGGATGTGGCTCAAGCGGTAGCGCGCTCGCCTGGCATGCGTGCAGCCCGGGTTCGATCCTCAGCACCACATACAAACAAAGATTTTGTGTCCGCCGAAAACTAAAAAATAAATATTAAAAAGAATTCTCTCTTTCTCTCTCTCTCAAAAAAAAAAAATATTGAAAAAGAAGAATCCCCATCTTATTTAAAAAAAAAAAAGTCTTCTTTGGTGTGATTGTACTTTGTTCTACAGTGTACAAGTAGCACTGTTATAGACATGAATTTACCCTTTGGGTCAGAACACTAAAATTCTATTGTTTTCTTAGATCCCTGCTCCAAAGAGAGGAGAAATAGTAAGGCAGATTGGCGATGCCTTGAGGGAGAAGATCCAAGTACTGGGGAACCTGGTAATGTTTTGCAGTATATATACAATCCTTGGAGTAGAGAATAAAGCTGTCATGCATATTTGATATAAGATTGTGATTTTTGAGTTTATACGTTTCAAAATATTTTCTTTAGAGGAAAGATTAATGAGGTGGACAGTAAAAATTAAAGAAAATTCTTCAGTTTTAAAATTCTACAGAAAAAAGGAACAGATTTTCTTCAGTTTGTTTCTGTCACAAAATAGACATGAAATAATGTTTTACTTTTGCCCACCTCAGTTTAATGTTTAAAGTGTTAATTCTGTTGGAAAAATCCTGCTTGGCTTTTTAATTTTTAGGTGTCTTTGGAGATGGGGAAAATCCTGGTGGAAGGTGTGGGAGAAGTTCAAGAGTACGTGGATATTTGTGATTATGCTGTTGGCTTGTCACGTATGATTGGGGGACCCATCTTGCCTTCTGAAAGTAAGCCATATGTCAGTTAAGCTGAATGTACTCTGATAGAGAGAGCTCTAGAAATGCTTTGGATGGGAATAATTTGCAAAAAAGGAATTGCAAGTGGAATGTAAATAATGTGAGTAGGTCTTCAATCTTTCTAAGAAATGCAAATTAAGGCAAATAAAAACAAGAGATCCAGAACACCCTACCCTGACCTGCCTGCTGGGAATGGAACCTGGACCTCACAGAAGGTGGGTGCTAGGCAGGTGCTACCATTGAGCTGCATTCCCCACTCCATTTTGTTTTGCTGCAAAGATAAAACCCAGTGTGGTGAGTACATGAGTGGTATACTTTTAACACATCTAGAAATCAATTGGGAAATACACCCAGAGTCTTAAATTTGAAGTCAATTTTAAGACAAAAATTTATGCATAAAGGTGTTTAGCTGGTTGTGATGCATGCTTGTAATCCTGATGACTCGGGAGGCTGAGGCAAGAGGATTGCAAGTTCAAAGCCAGCCTCAACAACTTGGCAAGGCCCTAAGAAACTTAGTGAAATCCTGTCTCAATATAAAAAATAAGAAGGGCTGGGGATGTGACTCAGTGTGTAATCATGATGGTACAAAAAATAATAAATAAAAAGAGCTGGGGATGTAGGTTAGTGGTAAATTGCCTCTAGGTTCAATCCCCAGTACCAAAAAAAAAGTGTGCATTATAGATATCAATAGAATATACTAAAAATGACTTAAATGCCTAATTCTAAGGAAAACATTAAATTAATTTTGGTGGAATATTAGCATGTCTTAAAGATATTAATGAAGATTGTCTTCTCACCCCACACTTTTATTGAAAGATTGCATTTACTTATTTTTATTTATTCATTTTAAATTTTTTTTAAATTTGTTCTTCTTAGTTATACATGGCAGTAGAATATATTTTGACATATTATATATACATGGAGTATAACTTCCCATTCTTGTGGTTGTACATGATGTGGAGTTACACTGGTTGTATATTCACATATGAACATAGGAAAGTTATGTCTAATTCATTCTACTGCCTTTCCTATTCCCATCTCCCTCCCTTCCCTTTATTCCCCTTTGTCTAATCCAAAGTACTTCTGTCTTTCCTTCCCCCTTCATTATTGTGTGTTAGCATCTGTGTATGGGAGAAAATATTTGGTCTTTAGTTTTTGGGAATTTCTTATTTCACTTAGCATGATAGTCTCCAGTTCCATCCACTTACTGGCAAATGCCATAATTTCATTTCTCTTTGTGGCTAGTATACCATTGTGTATATATACCACACTTTCTTTGTCCATCCATTGAAGGGCACCTAGGCTGGTTTCATGGCTTAGCTATTGTGAACTGAGCTGCTATAAACATTGATGTGGCGGTATCACTATAGTGTGCTGATTTTAAGTCCTTTGGGTATAAACCAAGGAGTGGGATAACTGGGTCAAAATGATAGTTGCATTTAAATAATATGAATAGCAGAAAATCAGAAAAGGGTAAAAGATGAAAAGTTTCACTATCTATAACAACCCATGGAAAAGTGAACATTTTTGATTTCTTGTGTATCTTTTTAGAACTTTAGTTCACATACAGGTAAATAGGTGGTGTTGTTTTTGAAAATGGAAAATTATTCATTCTGTTCTGTACTTTTTTCCTACTTCATACATCTTGGAAATTGTTTCACATTTATATGGTAAGAAGCTTCCTTCATTTTTTGGTCACTATTTTGCTTTAAGGTTATTATAATTTAGCTGTGTTTCAAATGGTGGATATTTAGGGTATATTTAAGTTTTTCTATTAGAAACTATGGGGCAAAGACCAGCCTTGGACTTTGATCATGTTTTACTGATGAGAATGAGAGCTTATACATTGGTAATGTTTGCAGTGTTGATGGACCAAAACAGGTAACTGTGCATCTGCTTTGACAGTACAAGGGATTGAAATATGCTCAAGGGTATACTAGTGGTGATTTCTATAAGTGGTGGAATTATTGGGGTGTTACTATTTTCTGTATTTTATAAAATTTTCCTAGGTATTATTACATTTATAATCAAGAAAAATTTTTTTACAATAAAGTTTAATTTTTTTGGAATGTTGGACAAATTCCTTGCTTGTAGAGAGTTCAAGCCTTTTTAATTTTTTTTTAAAGTACAGTTTGTATTTATTTTTTAACAGAGAGAGAGAGAGAGAGAATTTTAATATTTATTTTTTAGTTTTCGGTGGACACAACATCTTTGTTTGTATGTGGTGCTGAGGATCGAACCCAGGCCGCACGCGTGCCAGGCGAGCACGCTACCGCTTGAGCCACATCCCCAGCCCTCAAGCCTTTTTAATTTAATTTAATTTTTTTTTGTACTTGGGATTGAACCTAGGGGCACCCCATCACTGAGCTATATCCCTAGCCCATTTTACTTTTTATCTTAAGGTAGGGTTTTGCTAAGTTGCTGAGGCTCGCCTTGTACTTATGAGCCTCCTTGTTGCTAGGATTATAGGTATGTGCCACCATGCCTGGCTAGAGAAGCCCTTTTATTAAGTGAATTGTTAATGACCTTAATTAAATGTATAAAAACAATTCTTACTATTCAAGATTAATTTTATGTCATTGAACACTTAAAAGAGGTTCCTCCAGTTTAAAAAGTTAGTACACTGTCAATTTGGGAAGTATACACATGCAAGCAAGAAACTTTTTTGATCTGTGACTGCTCTTGGTGTCTGACTCACCAATTATAATCTTTTTCAATCAGATCTATCTATCCATCCACACTTTTAAAATTTTGAGACAGAGTCTTGCTGAGTTACTTAGGCTGCCCTCAAATTTCTTATCCTACTGCTGGTGGCTGGGTAGCTGGGATCAGAGGTGTGCACCACTGTGTCCCAGCCTAAAGATTGTATTTAATACATAAATACTTCTATTTGTATTTTTAATTTTCCTGTAGTGAATGTAAGTCTTTGGTAACATATTCATTCAACATTAGCCTATAAATGATCCGCATTGTCTCGAATGTGAAAAGGATTGAAGCCCACTTCAATTGGCAACATTAAAAAGCCTTAAAAGGCACAAATTCTGTATTCTGGTCATGTTTTGTCTTTTGTGATCACATCTCTTAGGGCACCTCTTAACACCTCTCTGAAATTTCCTTGTCTCCAGATAGGATCAATAACTGCCCTGATGTATGTACTTCCTGTGAGTTTCAGAGATACAATGAGTAGCCTTATGGTTTATAAAGAATATTATAGTGATAAACACTTCTGTTTTACATTAAGAATGTACTCGTAGCTGGGCACGGTGGCACAAGCCTGTAATCCCAGTGACTCTGGAGGTTGAGGCAGGAGGATTGAGAGTTCAAAGCCAGCCTCAGTTAAAGCAAGGTGCTAAGCAACTCAGTGAGACCTTGTCTCTAAATAAAATACAAAATAGGGCTGGGGATGTGACTCAATGGTTGCGTGCCCCTGAATTCAGTCCCCAGTACCAAAAAAAAGTACTCATATCCAATGCTGTGTAAAGTGATCCATTACAAGGCACCTGGAATTTCTCCTGGTCTGGAATATGTACTTTTGTTCTGAAAATGAAAGATTTCAGATATTATTCTTATTAATTCATATGCATTAAATCACTGTGCTTGAGCATGTTCTGTATCTTCCCCCATCTCAGGACCTGGCCATGCACTCATTGAACAGTGGAATCCTGTAGGTCTGGTTGGAATCATCACTGCATTCAATTTTCCTGTGGCAGTGTATGGCTGGAATAATGCCATTGCAATGATCACTGGGAATGTCTGTCTTTGGTAAGATCTGCTCACTTCCCTGCCCAGCAGTAAGTAGGTGATAAAAGGGGTCATTTTCATGAACTATTAAAAACATTTTAAATATATTGAAATGTTTTCAATACTTACTCTTTCAGTTAACATTGTCATATGTGCTAGTCAGGAAGCACTGATTTTTAATTATTCCATATTTTGCCACTGTTTATGTGACTTAGTTTTTTGGTACAGTGCTGTCCCCCTTTCTCTTCCACCACCTTCATTTCTACCTCAAATGCATGTACTGTAATTCAATTCTCATGCTAACTACCCAGAGTTAGTGTTAGGCTCTCTGGCTTAAGGATTCAGTCCTTAGCAAAACTGCCAGTGCTTCAGATGTGATATCAAATGCTATCTTCAATTGAATATACTCAGATCTATCTATAAAACAAAGCATAGTTTCAAGGATTAATGATTTGGACCATGTTGCCAAAGAAACCCATACTTGAAGTCCAAATAGCTAGTTGTGTAGTTGATGGATTTCTGCTTCATTTGGTTCCCATAATTGGCAGAGGTTAGTGCAACAGATATTAAGCAGATAGGTTCAAAGTCAAGTGGTGCCATTGTTATGTTCATGAAGGTTTTGTGGACCCTTAGACCTCAGAGACACCACCTAAAGGATTGATTTCTATTTCAGTTACTAGATTTATTTTTGTAGAATTAGAGCTTTATCAAAGACTTTTGCTTCTGCTTGATAATAAAAGGTATTTGTGGTTTCCCTAAAATCAAATTTCCTCTCTCTCTCTCTCCTTTTTTTTTTTTTTTTTTAACTATGTCTAGGAAAGGGGCTCCAACAACTTCCCTCGTTAGTGTTGCTGTCACAAAGTAAGTGAGTGTGGCCTTCTTTTTCCTGGGTATGGCATAATCTTGAAAGGGTGATTGAAAGGTCCTGAGTTTTTAAATGATGTGAAAATGTCATATTTATTTAAGCATGGAATTTGGATAACCTTTTTCAACTTTGGTTGTAATAACATTTTTGTATCATTTTGCAGTTGACACAGCTCATTCAGAATCATGTCATTTATTTCTTTGGAAACATGCCAGATATTGACTTAAGTGTTGAACTCTTCTAGACATTTTTTTTTAATCACCTAGAAAAATAAAAACATCTTTAGTGGAGAAGAAGTAGCCTGGCAATTTCAGAGCTATATTTAATAACTGTTGAACAAAATTAATAGTTCTGTGTATAGATTTCTAGTCAGATAATATTTTTATTTCTTTTGCTTAATAGACTGCTAACAAAAAGAACTGATTGTATGTATTAATCCACTGATTTACCCAGTACTGTTTAAAAGGAATCTCATGTTTTGGTTAAAAAATTATTAGCATTTTATTCCTTTTTGAGAGCTTGTCAGCTTTGATGAGGTCATAAAATCAGCATTACAAATCTACAATCTGGAATAGATTGGGTGCTTTTCTATGTAGGGCTGCCATGTGCCCTTTGGCAGAAAATACTTAATGATTATTTGAACTGCCTGAGCAATGCTTTATGTCTTCTCTTTATGTTCAAAATGCTCTTTTTTTTCCTTCTTAAGATTAGTTTATAAAGAAAGAAGGAGTTCTGCCTATAAGTATTTGGAAACCTTATTTATAATATGTGAAGAGAAATTTAGTCTGAATGTTAAAAGGGTGGGAGAGAAACTTGGAAAAGGAGAGTGAAATGGTTGGAATTCATCCCTAATTTTAAAAATATGTCTTAAACTAAATTATTTTCTGTCTTAGTAATGGCTCTTCCTTTCTAGGATAATAGCCAAGGTTCTAGAGGACAACAAGCTGCCTGGTGCAATTTGTTCCTTGACTTGTGGTGGAGCAGACATCGGGTGAGTGAATTAGACGGAGACCATCCTTCTGTTGAGGGACCCCAGGTTGATCAATGAAAATCGTCTTTACTAGAATAACAAAATCCAGTGCTGCACTGGGGTTGGGGAAGAGTCCTTCTATAGAGCCAAACTTGGAATTACTCAGGAAATGGACCAGGTAATATGGAGATTGTTGATATTTCCTGGGGCAAAGGAGTGAGAGTTATTCTCTTCCCCAACCCACTCCTAGCGGCACCTGTCACCAGCCTGGTACAAAGGCAGGCCTTTTCTTCCAAGAGCATCTCATCACTCTCCAACAGCAGGTGGAAGAAAAGGGGACAAAAACTGAACATATGTCGCCTCTCCCCTATTTTTTCCAAGTTTTGCTGTGCCAAATGTTTAAAACTTTGCAAACATAAATCTATTGAAATTTCATTAGTTAAGAACTTATTCATGTAAATAGATTGCTTTTGAAGGTATAGAAAATAGTAGAGCTCTCTCAAGAGCATCCAGCCTTGCTGATCTCACCTTTTTTTTTTTTCTGAAGAATGGGTAGGGGTGAAATATAAACATTCACCAAGTCCCTCCACCCCAATTATCAAGCTGCGCTACATTAAACCCAGCTCACTAATATAGGGAATTATTACACCCTAGTGACCCATGGGCCAAGAAACTTTCAGAAGCATTAAAAAAATAGTTGAAATTTATTCCTTGTCATTTATTTATTTCATATTTATGTTATGGTTTTTGTTTTGTAGACAGTAATGGAACGTACATATTTATGTTTTGAAAGAAACTTTGAGTCTTTCAAGAACTGTTCCATTTTTAGTTTCTTCTTGAGGTAAGGGAGAAATTACCAGTTAATTTGTTTTAAAATATTTGGGCATTTTTTGAGTTATAAAATTGCGATGCAGGAATTTGTGGATGAGACATTCACATGTGAAAGATGACTTCACTAGTTATCCGCTTAAGCAGAATAAAGTGTGTGAATATTTTAGAATATTCAGTGTTATGGACCATCATCATTATCTTATTCCAAAACGGTGATCAGCCCAGAAACTCAAACTCCACACTCTAAACCCACTACCCATCATCCCCTCATTTCTCATCCCCTGACAACACTACTGGGCTTTCTATCTCTGGATTTGCCTGTTTGGGATATTTCATACAAATGGAAGCATATAATATATGACCTGGCGTATATATTTTGTGTCTGGCTTCATTTATATAGTATAATATCACAGCTTGTTTAAGCTAGAATTGGCCATAATTACTCTGACCCATGATGAAAGGTTGTTATTTCAGTATAGACTTTGATGAGGTGAGGTCTCTTGGGAATCAAGTCTTTTTTTTTTTTTAATTAATTAATTAATTAATTAATTTTTTAAGAGAGAGAATTTCAATATTTATTTTTTACTTCTTGGCGGACACAACATCTTTGTTTGTATGTGGTGCTGAGGATTGAACCCGGGCCGCAGGCATGCCAGGAGAGCGCCCTACCACTTGAGCCACATCCCCAGCCCCAGGAATCAAGTCTTATAACCCATACTGTTGGGGCTAAAAGGTTAATTTCTCTCTGACACTTTTACTATACTTCTACTTACTAGGTAATTTTTAAAAGGAGCAATAAGTTAGTCCTTTGTTCAAATAGTTGAGAATGTATTAGCAAAACAGCTCCCACATATACAATAAATTATGAAATATTATCTAAATTTCACTTAAAACATGAGTATTGTATTCTTTGATTTACTCTTGTTTTTGTAGTCTGAGTATCCAGTTCTTCGTGTTGGCCTTGGAATGGGTCAGTAGTGTGTATAGGAATATGTTAACTAGAACCACTTTGAGTATCAGTGCTCATATTTGTGGGCTGAACCTGAGGAAACCTCTCTGAGTAGATGAATCAAGCTGTCTAGCCCTGCACTAGACTGATGCTCTTAACTTCCCTGCTTAGCTCAACTGAACTCTTTGAAGCACTGATCTATGAACAGATATTCAAATCAATAGTACTGATCGCCATTCCTTAAAAGCACCTGGAAATCCTAGCACAGCCTTTCTTTTTTTTTTTTTTAATTTTTTAATACTTATTAGTTTTCGGCGGACACAACATCTTTGTTTGTATGTGGTGCTGAGGATCGAACCCGGGCCGCACGCATGCCAGGCGAGCGCGATATGGCTTGAGCCACATCCCATCCCTGTAGCACAGCCTTTCTAAATCAGCTTCTTTGAGGGATTCTGTTGGATGCTTCCATATAGCCATCTGAGATTTTAATCCTTTTTTTTTTTTTTTTTTGATACTGATGATTGAATCCAGAGGGACTTTACTATTGAGCAACATCTCAGGCCTTTTTAAAATTTGAGACAGGGTCTTGCTAAGTTGTTGAGACTGGCCTTGAACTTGTGATCCTCCTGTCTCAGCTTTTCAAGTAACTGGGATTATAGGTGTGTGCTACTGTGTATGGCACTTTTTTTTTTTTAATTCTTAAGGAATTATATAGTAGATTGTGAATTTGAAAAACAACTTGCATGCTCATGAAGGAAATACTAGAAGGATTTTGTCCAGTCATCCACTCGATACAGGAAGGTTTTTCTTGTTTAACTAACAACTTCCTGTAGACGATTTCTGTTTACAGAGAGCTCTCAGATCAGGTTATCCTCTTTTGTGAAAAATGTATTTCATTTTCCTGAAGGCCTTCCTTGTAGCCTTGATGGACTCCCTTGCCAGGGGCCCATGTCAGTGTTTTCTTGTGGCATTGGTAGGTGCTGCCATCACTGGGTTTCTCTGCTTGGGTAACCGTGTCTGTTTCCCTGCAGCACAGCAATGGCCAAAGATGAGCGGGTGAACTTGCTGTCCTTCACTGGAAGTACTCAGGTGGGAAAACAGGTGGCGCTTATGGTACAGGAGAGATTTGGTAAGTGTTGATTTCTGATGAGAATTTTAATTCTCTGAGAAGTATGGATGTGGAATATAAAAGTTGGCTTTTGTTTTGTCCATTCAGAGGGTCAAGGAAAAGCTGGTTATGTTTGTTTGAATGTCCAATAAAAGAAAAGGGTACAATTTTTAGTTCAATATTAGGGGAATCTCAAATTTACATAGAAGAAATATATCATTTTTTTCTACAGTAGAAAATAGTAGAATCATATAAAAAGGATCTTTCAAATTCTTCTGGACATGTTTAGCAACTTAAAAAAGAAATCACAACTTAAACAAGACCAGTGAATGTGGGCTTAGGTCGTGGAGTGCTCATCTCCTTTGCATTCACATACATAAGACTGAAAGGGATTGAAAGGGTCTTACAGACATAGCATCATGTGTTCTACTTTATTGCTGGTTTAAGAATTTTTCAGGGGTATATTGACCAATTTTTTTCTATTATGCTAAATTTGGATTCTACCCTCAGCATAAAAGGAGACTTGAGTTAGTTAATGAGCTATCATTTTCTTATTTAGGCATTGCTTTTAAAAAACAAGTTTACAAAAAGGTATTTAAGGATCATCAAGATTGGGCTGGGGATGTGGCTCAAGTGGTAGCGCGCTTGCCTAGCATGCATGAGGCACTGGGTTCAATTCTCAGTACCATGTAAAAATAAAGATATTGTGTCCACCTAAAACTAAAAATAAATATTTTTTTTTTTAAAAAAAGATCATCAAGATTTCAGGATATAAGGTCAATATAAAAATCATATTTCTATACAATAATGAATGATCTGAAAGTGAAACTTAGAAAGTAATTACATATATGATAGCATTGAGAATAATAAAACACTTAAAAGTAAATTTAACTGAAGCTTAAGTCTTTCATGCAGAGTACCTCAAAGCATCATTGAAAGAAATGGGAAAATAGCTAAATAAATGGAAAGGTATCCTGTTTTCATTTTATAAAACATTTAGTATTGTTAAGATGTGACTTTTTTCCTGAGTGATACATAGGTGCAGTGTAATTGCTGTTAAAATCCCAGCTTCCATTAATAATAGAATCCTGCAAAGTTTTCATCAACCCATATTTTCATGCTACTTATGAAAGGCTCAACCTCCTTGAATTAATGTTAAGTGGCTTTTATCTGATTCAGTAAAGTTGGATTTACTTTTTACAAGGATGGAGCCTAGAGTATGATTTGTCAGCAGCTGTGTTTGAAAGAAGGTGATCAAGTTATTTTTAAATTTGGTTTTCATATTGGAAACAAATCAGTTATTAGAACAATATTAAGATATATATGAACTGATCTCGTATAAATAAAGTGACCATCTCTTCCATTTCAAACTCTTAAAGTTCTTGCAATTTAGGGATAGAATTTATGTATTTCAGGGGTTTTTAAAGGTTCCATTGAAGCTTACAAATCTGTTACAGTTACTCAAGAGTCTTATCTACAGAACTCAAATATTAAATAGAGACTCAAATGTATTATAGTAAGGAATGAAGATACCAAAATAAATGTTTTAATATTAAAAAAAAAAAAATCCCAGCTTCCTGTTCTGCAACAACTGACAAATTGATCTTAAAAATCCTACAGAAATTCAGAGGACCCCAAATAGCCAAAATGATCTTGCAAATGAAGAACAAAATTGAAGAACTCATACTTCTTGATTTCAAAATTGAGTGCAAATCAGAGGCTGGGGTTGTAGCTCAGTGATAGAGTGCTCACCTAGCACATGTGAGACCCTGGGTTCAATCGTCTGCACCACATAAAAATAAATAAAATAAAGGTATTAAAAAATTGAGTGTAAATCAATAGTAATCTATATTAGTAGCAGCATAAGGATGCACATAAAGATCAATCGAATAAAACTGAGAGTCCAGAAATAAGCCTTTGCAATGATTGCTGATTGGCTTTTTTTTTTTTTTTTAAATAAGAATGCCAAGACATTTTCAATGGGGAAAGAATCTCTTTCAACAAATGATGCTGGGACAACTAAATATCTACGTACATTAGTATGAAGTTGGGCTTTTATCTCACCTCACCTTATATATAGAAACAAACTAAAAATGTATAAAGACCTACACATAAGATTCAAGACTTTAAACTCTTAGTAGAAAACAGGAATAAGTCTTTGTGACTGTGGGCTAGGCAGTGGTTACTTAGATAAGACACCTAAAGTGCAAGCAGCAAAAATAAAAATAGAAAAATTAGATTTTATCAAAATAAAAACTTGTGTGCTTCAAAAGGCTACCAAGAAAAAGGTGAAAAAAGCAACCCATGGAAGGAAATATTTGTAAATCATATATTTGATGAGCAACTTGTGTCTATAATATATTGAGTACTCTTAAAATTCAACAATATCAAAGACAAGTAATACAGTAGTTTAAGACTGGGTGGTGTATTTGAATAGACAAATAGCCAATGCATGAAAAGATGCTGCCTGTTATTAGTGTCATTGCTCCCACTATAGGCTTTCATCTTCTGTTTCTCCCTGCCCTCTAAAGCATGTGTTTGTTGTCCGTGTGTGTAGTACCATCAGCAGGTAGGATTATAATTTGTTAAATATGTCTGTTTATCTTAAGGTACAGATACTTTTTAGGGAAAGGCTTGGTGGTTAGGAATGTAGTTAAAGAGCATTTCACAGAAGACTGGATGGATGTAGAAAACACAGTTTTCCCTTTTCTGCCAAATATCTCTTGTAGCCAGGTAGGAGAAGCTACTATCTTATAATGGAATATTTGGTTTTCTTACGTCTTTTCTTAGCATCTAGCACAATGCTATGCTGTAGCCAGTAAGCTGTCATTAAATCAACGACTAAAGTAGAGGCTAGAACTGTGATAGCACCCAGAGGCTTTTGGCAGTAACAGCCCCATCCCTTCATGATTAATATCCACTGGATGCTTAACTATTTGAGAGTGACGAAAGTGGCAACAGACTCTCCTGCTATCATACAGTTCTGAGAGCACAAATAAATAAACATTATTTTAAAGTGCATTTGAGGAAACTTATGTTCTAAAGAACAATAGGGTACATATAGCTTTAAAATTGAGGCAAATAAATCTCACATCTGTGTGCTGGGGAGAGTAAAGTGACAGTGGCATTCATAGACTGCTATATTTCTTCTCTGGAATGTGAATTGGCATTGTGTGTCAGGATTCCTAATGTACATGTTCTTTGGCCCTGACCTAAGTAGATAATCGAATAAATAACCAATAATAAATATACTCAACACTGGAAAAGTAATATGTGTAGTCTATCTCAATAATTTTTAAAATTTTCTGATGTATAATTATGACAAATATTAACATCAAATTTCCTCATTTTGATAATTGTACCATGCTGTGGCAAATAAATTTGGTATGTCATCAGAATAGAATACTGTAAAGTGATCCCCCACCCACCCCACCCCCATGGCTGGGAATCAAGCTCAGAGTTTTGTGTATGTGGTGCAGGCACTCTGCTACTGAGCTACACCCCCAACTCTGAACTTTTTCATCTTACGAAATTAAAAATTTATTCTCATTAAACAGTAATTTCCCCTACCCCTGGCAAATTTTTATATTTATGATTTTGATTACTTTACAACATTATCTGAGTGAAATTATATTTGTCCTTTTGTGACTGGCCCATTTCACTTGGTGTAGTGTCATTGAGGTTCATCCATGTTGTAGTGTGGGATAGGATTCTTTAAGTCTGTGTAATATTCTTCTCTGTATGTGCACCACGTTTTCTTCACTTGGCAGTTGATGGATCCTTGGGTTGCTTCTATCTTTTGGCTCTGTGAATAAAACTGTTAAGCATGTGGGGGTAATTGTTTGAGTCCCTGCTTTCTCTTCTTTTGGTAATACCCTAAAGTAGAATTTCTAATATCATATAAAAATTCTGTTTAGTTTTTTTGGAAACTGCCATACTGTTTTCCTCAGTGACTGGCCCATTTTACATTATTTTTCTCTTAATTCCAAACTTAAAGGTTACAAGACTAGTATAAGGAATTCTTTATACCCTTTAACCAGATTCACTAATTGCTTATATTTTGCCCCAGTTTGCTTTATCACTTTCTCTCTCCAGCAACATATATGCACACATTGTATTTAGTATGTACATGTTATTGTTACTGTTAGTGGAATAAGTCAAAGACATTGTGTCCCTTTATCATTAAATATTTCAGGGTTTTAGAATACAGGCATTCTCTCATGTAAGCATGGTATAATTATCAAAATAAGGAAATTTGTTGGTAATATTTATCATAATTATACATCAAAAAATTTTAAAAATTATTGAGATAGACTATAATTTGAAGATATACAGCAATGTGCAGTAAATACTGAAATAGTAATTAATTTGTGTTTGTGTTTTTAAAGGGAGAAGTTTGTTAGAACTTGGAGGAAACAATGCCATTATTGGTAAGGCTACTCTTTTTTAGTTGTTTTGTTTTCTGTTTAACATAGCCACAGTAGCCATTTGAACATACAGAACTTGTTTAGGAAGTAATCCTTTCTAGGTTATGTGAGCTGGGTCTTATTTCCATGTAGGAATTTTACTTATGAGACACAACACAAGCTGGGGTTAAAGACAAAGATAACTAAGTAGGAGAAGTATTCATGTTTGGAGAATATAACACAGTGCACGAGATTTCCGTTGTCTGTACTGTGGCATTATTACTTCATGTTTTTCCTTGTTTTCTGAAAACTAGATGCATGTTGCTCCAGAATAACTCAGTCTTGCATGATGTGCTGATTCCTTTTAATTTCTGTAGCTGAACTTCTGCAGAGTGTGGGAGGTTTCCTGTTGGGAGGGCATGCTTCCTCAGGTGTTTTTTGCTAATCACTTACCTGCAGACCAAGAGATGATTTACATCTCTTTTCATTATTTGAGTTTGGCACAAAAGGGAATTAGAAAATCACCCTAACTTCTGGACAATGTAATGAAAGTCAGTACATTGAGTCTTAATAGAAACAGCTTTTGTGATAAAAAGAAAAACTTGGTAATTACTATATTGCTGCTATCTTCATGTTTCTGTGTCTATATATTTGTGGAGTTCATCACAGATTTAAAAACAGATGGCAAAGGGTTTTCTTTAGATGAACTTCTAATCTCGTTGAGATTACACTTAGTGAGCTCTAGATGTAGTTAGCACTTGTGAGCACTAGATACCTGCCAGGGAGTGTGCTCAGCTTTGGGGGCCGGAGGACAAGTTGTAGGTCAGCTAGGTAACTTAGACTGTCTCAAAATGAAAAGTAAAATGGAAGAGGTAGTACCTCCGGATTCAATCTCTAGTACTGGGAGAAAAAAAATGTTGAAATAACACAACTAAAAAACAATGATGAATGAGAACTCTGGTCTGTTTGCACAAACCACTTTCTTAACCATCATGCTAGTCTGACAATGCTGTTTGATTGGAGGGTCAGGATTGAAGATGGAAGGAGGAACTGGCTGTAAGTTTCTAGAAGATATAAGAAAGGAGGAATTAAAAAAAATATATAAATGGAAGGGTTATTCTTATAAAGATTATACTATTTTTTCTCTTCTGAGAGTAGATAAAAATAGAGAAGAATTTGAAAGTGACTTTATATTGATCTCTTCAGAGGAATAGAGGAAGCTCAAAAGGGGCTTTTTCCATGTGAATTTTTCCATCAAGTGGAAGATAAGATCATTCCATGTAGTAGAGCAGAAAACAGACGTTTTTCAATGATTTGAAAATGATTTGGAAAAGCATCTGCAGGATGGCAACAGGAAATTGACTAATGCAAGTGAGTGCTTGGGTGTTTCCAGAGCATGTTTTTTTATGGAGGTCTTTAATTGTCTATGTTTAATTGCCAGGGTCACTGGCATCAAAAGAGTCTGAGAATTTAGATTAGAGGCAAATAAAGCTGATGAAGAGCATGATCACATTAGAGAAGAGTGCCCAATGACCATATAGAGGAGGTTCAGATAGTGTCAGAAATTGAGGAAGATGAAAGATGATGGGGTGAGAATGAGAGCCTCAGTTTACCTGTGTATTTGGGTAAAGGTCATAGAGCTAATTCCTCTATTCTATAATCTTTCCTAGAAGAAAAGTGTCTTCACCCCCAATGAGCACATGTGTATATGCCTGCAACGTGATCCTGCTTGCTTTATGATGGTTTTGGCATTCTTACTTTTTAAAGTCATCCTTTTAGACCAGTTAGCAAATGTCTTCTCTGCCTGTTTCCTTGCACTGATGGGCATGTTGTTTGTGCTTCTCTAAGCTTTTGAGGATGCAGACCTCAGCTTAGTTGTTCCATCAGCTCTCTTTGCTGCCGTGGGGACAGCTGGCCAGAGGTGTACCACTGCAAGACGACTGGTGAGTGTGCTGTGTAGTGCATGAGATTTTCCTGATCTTATACACCACATTTTAATGAATTATGCTGAATAGGTATTGTAGACATATTGCCAGAAAAATATGTTCTGCTGACATGGATTGCAAATGTGTGGGCCTGCTGCTCTCTAGTGCTTGAGGCGATGTTGATCAACCAGGTACTCAGCCTTTTCCCCCACCCCAAGCTAGCAGTGGTGTCAAAACAAATTGATGGGTATTACACTGAAAGGTGAGACCTATTTTTATTCATACTTGTAGGACAAGATGGACAAAATACAGTGTCACTTAAAAAGCTAGAAATTTGAAAAATTCTAAAACTCAATTAAAAAGTAGCCTCACTTTTTTTTTTTTTTCACTTATTTATTTTTTTATCTTTTTGTGGTACTGGAGATTGACCATAGGGCCATAGGCAGCCAGGCAAAGCTCTACTACGGAGCTGCATCCCCAGCCCTAGACTCATTTTTTTATAAAAAACATTTTAAAAAATTTTGATTTTTGGCTTCAAGTCTTCAGTTTGACTTGATGTGACATGGTTTATTGAAAATAAATGACTATTTTTGTGTTTTCTTTAAATATATAATCTACATATATATATACACACACACACACAAACATATATGCATAGGACAGATAATAATAAATGTATATAAGATGTGGTTTACTTGTAGTGTGTGGGATTTCTGAAGTTTAAACTATATACTTAGATTGAGTTGAATTTCATTTTTATGTGAAATACATACAACCTTGATGTTCATGATTCTTATAGTACTGAAATAGTATCGTAAAACTGTGCAGTTTGGTTAGGTACAAAATTTGACCACATTTCCTTTTCTTTTTTCCATTGTTAAGCTTTTCCATTGTTCCATTTTAAAAAACTAATCAAATCCTGAAGGAATTGTTTTTGAATTTTGCTCTCATTCACAATGAGTGTGAACAAATTCTGTGGAAGATTAGCATAATCTAAATTAGAACAAGATAAAAGGTATATGAAAATTCAATCTTTATCTTTCTCACACTTTTCATACTTTTTCTTGCATTTTGCAAATGAAAATCACATTATTCAGTTGAATTCTTCAAACACATCTATGATATTCATAGCATTTACAATTTATTAATTTGATTCACCATAAACATTACATTAAAACAAAGAAAGAAGCATCCTGCAGATAATTATATCCTTAAGTAAATGATGAAATATGGAATGACTTGAGAGCCACTCATTTCTCTCTTCAGCCCACTTTTATTTTTCCTTTGGGGCTTGGAGCAAATATACATAGCCATGTTTTATATTTAGTGTTAAATATTAAAGAATGCTATTAATAATTGATCAAACTGATTTCCATAGCAACAGTTAGTGAGGTATAAGAGAAAAACCTTTACAGTATAATAGACCACTTTGTGAGTGGTCTCATAGTGACAATTCATTTGTCACAGGGACATTAGCCTAGAGCGTGAATGGCTTGGCATGTTCACCTCTGCTGCTAGGAATGTAGTAAGAGTTCACATCCCACACAGAGTGAGTGCATGGGTGTCCTTGCCTGATTTAAGACCTTGTGCTGGAGATTTATGTTATCTGAGACCGAGTGCTTATGGTGACCCAGCACAGATCAGCCTGACCCAGACATTGTGCTGAGACTTGTGGTTGCACTGTATTCAAGGTGGACTTGATTCTGATTAAGAAGTTACGGGTTGGGGATACAGCTCAGTGGCAGAGGCCTTACTTAGCATGTGCAGGCCCTGAGTTCAATTCCCAGCACTGCAAAAAAAAAAAAAAAAGTTCTAAATGTTTTCAAACAAATATAGGAATAATGGATTTGTGAAGTTTTGCTGGATAGGTCCTTAGACAATTGATAAAGCTTGTGATTTTATTCTAGCATCTACCTGGAGGAAATTATTAACTTCATATAGTTAATATTAAAATCAGAAATGATATAATTTAAAAAACATGTTTTTGCTTGCTTATGTTTTCAGAGATTACTATATTTTAATAGTATTAAAAAGCTATTAATACTATTAAGAAAAGTATTCATTGCTTAAAAACTTGTACATTTTGCTATTCCCATGAATATTTCTTTCTTCTCTTAGTTTTTACATGAAAACATCCATGATGATGTTGTAAATAGACTTAAAAAGGCCTACGCACAGATCCGAGTCGGGAACCCATGGGACCGTGAGTATCTGGTTCAATTTTCAAAGATTTTAACAGCTGGTGTTAAAAGTGTTTCTGATCTTCTGAGTTTTTTTGTCTTCTCTTAGGCCTGGGGGCATATGAAGGAGATTTTGGGCATTTGGGGAGACACATGTGCTGCTAGTAAAGTTAGGATCTAGGCGTTTGATATATGCTGGAGAGTGAGACTTGGAGGTGCTGTTCAGCTGGGTTGATATTTGATGAGCTTTTCTCCATTTACTGTTACCCTTGTCCAGGTCGACTGCTGTGTTCTCTCATGGAAGGCTGTAAGAATTCCCTACCTGACTTTATCACTTTCACTCCTGCCCCCCAGAGAAACCTGAATGATCATTTAAAATGTGTTCACTTTTCTGCTTAAAGTATTCCAGGACCTTCTTATTGTGCTTAGACTAAAACTAGATTCCTTTTGATTCCCTCCTTCATGGGCTCCCAGTCTTGGTGATCTCATAGCTACCCACCTTCCCAACAGAACTATGTCCACATTCCCCCTTGTTCCCTAATCTCCAGTTCTTCAACCTTCTTTGAGTTTTTCAAACATTCCTAGCTCTTTCTGGCCTTCATCCAGCACTTTCTGTAACTGGCTCTGCATAAAGTGCTACCTTCTCACAGGGGCCTACCTAAATCTTCCCTCCTCTGACCTGTGGTTATCTTTGATGCTCTTGTTTCCAGCAGCCATAACATAGGGCAGCATCAGGCTCTCCCGTTTGAATTTCATGAAAGCTATGGAGATTGTGATGTTCTTAGGCAATGCTCACACTGTAATGAATAAACCAATCCTATATTATTTTATTTAATTTCACTTCACTGTTTGCGGATCAACCCTGGGTCCTCGTGTATGCTAATCAAACACTCTACCATCAAGCTACACTTCTAGGCCTCTGATCCTGAATTTTTAATGCAGTATTCTGATTGATAGCCTTTTTTCTAAAGCCAGGGTTGGCAAGCAGATTTGGCTCACCACCTCTTTGTATCTGCTGCACAGCCACCATGCTTTTTTCTATGTCATTTACAGCAATTTTCACAGTACAAAGGCGAGATCAAATAGTTGTAGAGTCACATATGGTATGCAAAGTGGAGTATGTTTGCTCTGTGGTCCAGAAAAAAGTTGCCAACTCCTGCTCTTAACTGAGAGGCTACAGGAAGGGATTATTATTAGCCTATTCATTTTGAAAAGCTGGTATAATAATAAGCGATGCTCTTTAGGGCAAAATGAAGATCATTCCTTTTCTCTCCCTAGCTAATGTCCTATATGGGCCACTCCACACCAAACAGTCAGTGAGCATGTTTCTTGGAGCGGTGGAAGAAGCAAAGAAAGAAGGCGGCACAGTGGTCTATGGGGGCAAGGTAACGAGAGCCTTGGGGTCAGGAGTGATGGCTGTTTTATTCTCTTTCCCTTAGGCACAAGTAGGTCTCTGAGACAATTGGTGAAGGGTCACATTGAACATCCTTCTCCCTGTCCCTATTACAGGGGGAAATAGGTTTTAAAAAATGATAACAGAAACTGTGTGGAATGTTTCAGGGAATGACGCACAAGAAGCTTAGAGTCGGGGCTGGGGTCGTGGCTCAGTGGTAGAGCACTTGCCTCGCATGTGTGAGGCACTGGGTTGGATTCTCAGCACCACATCCAAATAAATAACATAAAGGTCCATCAACAACTAAAAAATATTTAAAAAAAAAAAAAAGAAGCTCAGAGTCCTGGTGGCCTTTGGGTAGGGACCCGAGGAGTTTGTATGGAGTTTGTAAACTTTCTGTTATGTCACAGTAGAAGACTTTGTATTCAGCACTATTAGAATCCATATTTAATGGTCATTTGAGATGTTCAGTTAAGGCAGGAAATAAAAAATACAACCATAAGTATTTTATTTTAACTTAACTACTTAGAACTACATTTATTTGTGATTCTTTTGATGTAGAGCCGAGGTATTTTCTTCATGGATTATAGGAATTTATTGTTTTCATCTCTGCAAAAGCTGCACCTCTAATCTGTTATCTATATAATTGAGTCTCACTTATTTAAAATTCATGGAAACTTGAATCTTGCAAAGCAGTCTGACAGCAGAATCCTCCTCTCTAGTTTTATCATCAACACACCCACATCTTATTGGGCAGGGATGTGTATATATATTCATTATTTATTATTTTGAGTTTTCTCGAAAGCATTTAACCCATTCTGTACAGGAATAGCTTTTATTCTTTAGTAAAATTTACTTAAGTTACATATATAATATAGCATTGTAATAACAAATACAGCTGCCATGCACCTGATCAAGAGTTGACTCTTGGTATTCATATATGAATACACCACAGTGATACTCACCATCGTGTACATCCATAAGACTAGAGTCCTAATTAGAATAAGATATATTTCATGCTTGTATAATTATATCAAAATGGACTCTTGTCACATATAACTAAAAAGAACCAATTATTAAAAAAGAAAAAGAAAGTGACTCTTGGTAAAATATAGCTTGAAGGTTTAGAGAAGAATTTTAGAAACCCTCTGAAGGATTGACACCCCCACCCCCCAGCCATAGCAGCTTGCTGTGGGCCTCAGAACATTTCACAGAAGGAAAGGCAGTCACTAGTTAAGTGGAGGTGGACTAGGGACTTGGTTTTACAGAGGTTGGTTATGACGTTATATTCTTTTGGTGACATCAGTTTTGTACAGTATTAATCTACTAGGGCTGCCATAACAAAATACCGCACACTGGGTATCTCCAACAACAGCAATGTATTTTCTCACAGAAGGAGGCTTGAAGTTCAAGATCAACATGCTGGTGGGGTTGGCAGGTTGGTTCCTGGTGAAGTTTCTTTCTGGCTTGCAAATGGCCCTTTCTTGCTGTCACATGATTTTTTCCAATGGAGGGCACAGAGATTTCCAGTGTCTCCTCCTGATCTATGAAATGAACACTTTAAAACTATAAAGCAATAGGACACTCATCCTATTGGATTAGGACCTGACCCTGCTGACCTCACTTATTTTCAGTAACTTTAACAACTTCCTTAAAGGTCCAGTCTCTAAATGCAGTCACACTGAGTGTTAAGACTTCAACATTTGAGTCCTAATTCAGTCTATAAAACAATGGTCATACATCACTCATTTTATAATTAATTATAAAATAACTATTTGCAGCAGAGTTTTGTTAACATAACTTGTTTGTGACATGACATAGCTTTCCTCCTTAAACTCCTCCCTTTTTCTTTCCTTTTTTTTTCCTGACCATCTAAGTTAGGAGCAAGAAATAATATTCACTGGGATAGAAAGTTGTTTTGAAGAAATAATTTACCTATAAGTGCTGTTTATTTTTTTCCTCATAAACGTAAGCATCCTCTAACTCCCAAGTACTAGAAAATGAAATGTTTCATTCCTTTTATTTCATCTTTCTACTCTAGGTTATGGATCGCCCTGGAAATTATGTGGAACCCACAATCGTGACAGGTCTTGCCCATGATGCCTCCATTGCACACACAGAGACTTTTGCTCCCATTCTCTATGTCTTTAAATTCAAGGTACAAACAGATTCTGTGTCTCTAGTCTAATGTTGAAATACATGATAAAACTAAGGGAAAATGAAGGTATATTAAATTTCAATCAGCTTTTAAGAAGGTTTTAGAAAGTCACTTGAAATAGTAGAAATTCAAATGTTCAGGACAAACTATGAGATGAACACTTTAAAACTATAAAGCATTCCAGGCTAGGTACCAGGGAAGCTGAGATGAATAATGGACCTGTGTTGGAGTTTGTGGGATGTTCAATTCCTCTTCACCTTACTCGGCTATGTGGGCCTCAGAGGCAGCTGCTCCTGACAGGGGGACTAGAGCATTCCATAGCCTGAGCACTGTGTACTTGTCAGCAGACAAGATGAGAAGATGTGGGGGCAATCTGAAGACATGCAGTTATCACCCCATCAGAGGTCAGATGATGGCAGTTTTAACATGTAAAAATAATTCCCTGGCCTGAGACAGGCTCTGGCTTTGCCAACAAATATTTAGAATTAAGTTTTTTCAGAGATTGAATCAAGGTTTGAATGTGCTACTGTTATCAAAATATAGTGAGAATTGCACCTTGTTGCAATTATAAGATTGCATTTATTTTATCTTTAAATTATCTATTGTTTCAAATATGGTGCTTAGAATAATTTCATGTTTTGTAATGAGAGTGTTTGTGAGCTTTTGTGCAAATTATTTACATTTAGTTTTACTGGGCTTCAGTTGGTGAATCTGTAAATTGGTGATAATATAAAACTTGTGTTAATATAAAACTTGTTAATATAAAACTTGTTTAATCCCCATAGGGTGGAGATTAAATAAATAAATGCATGTTAAGTGCATAGATCAGTGTATTGTACATGATAGGAGTTCAATATATATTAACTCTTAGTAGCTTGAATGGAAGAACATACTAATCTTTGTTTCTTAAAGTATCATGGAGGAAAATATCCTTCAAGGTATTACTATTAAAAATTATCTAAATAATAAGAGACACTGGGCATGGCAGCACATGCTTGTAGTCCCAGAAGTTTGGGAGACTGAGGCAGGAGGATCGAGAGTTCAAAGCCAGCCTCAGCAAAAGCGAGGTGCTAAGTAACTCAGCGAGATCCTGTCTCTAAATAAAAATACAAAATAGGGCTAGGGATGTGGCTCAGTGGTTGAATGTCCCCGAGTTCAATCCTTGGTAACCGCCCTCACCCCAAAGGGAAAAATAAATAAATAAATTATAAGAAAAATAGAATTAGTAACATGTTGACTGGTTTCTATTTGCACACTAAAATGACATTGGTATATCTCATGAAATGAGTTTAACATCAGTGAACTTTGATCTGAACATTGTAGTGTCTAACAGCTTCCAACACTTCTCCTTTTAGACTGAAGAAGAGGTCTTTGCATGGAACAATGAAGTGAAACAGGGACTTTCAAGTAGCATTTTTACTAAAGATTTGGGCAGAATCTTCCGTTGGCTTGGGTATAACTTTGTTTATTTTTAACATTTATATGTCTGATTTCTGTGGTGAATGGGCTTTAAAAGAATGAATCCATTATTTAGCATTGAGAGTCTTTGAGTAATCGGGGTTTTGTTTGTGTTGTTTTTAATTTCCAATACATTGCTCTCACCATACCTCTCCTTTTATGCACAGACCTAAAGGTTCAGACTGTGGCATTGTAAATGTCAATATTCCAACCAGTGGGGCAGAGATCGGAGGTGCATTTGGTATGTAGAGAATCATTTCTCCTTTTCCAGGTTGGGTGGCAAGGGAAAAGCAGTAGTAGCTTTTAGAAAAGTTTGGTCCAGAAACTGAAGTATAATTTACATTCTAATGTAATATGTGATCTCACATGCTTGAAAGAGCTTATTACCATTTTTGAAGTTATTACCCAGAGTTCTGCATCTTCTGCTCAGATGCAGCATTGGGTTAGAGCAGTGTCCCTTAACCCAAGTTACATGAAGCCCTGAAATGCAGCATCTGTATTCTAGGGAGAATACCCAAGACCCCAGAACTATTAAGAATCCCTGCTTCAACATTAGAAAATTTCACATAAAATATTCTGGTTTTTTTTTTTTTTTTTTTTTTTTTTTTTTTTTTTTTGCAAAGTTGGCATAATAAATGTTAACTATATTTTCTTTAACTAGATGAAATACTAGGTTGTTTCTCTTTACTGGGCCTTGATCCTCTTGTCTGGTAATAAGCCATGGCTTATTGATACTTAAATTTTGTAATGGTTAAAAAAAATCCTTCCCAACAATGGTATATTAAGTTTTACTTATTAAAAATGATCCAAGGTATAGTACAATCAGCTTGCCTTGTTTTTCAGTATAGAAGGAAAACAAACATGCATTAATATCTGTAAGAGTTTATGTACAGTGGCATTCTTTTTATATTTTTAGACCTAACACAAAATACTGTTCAGAGTACAGACTTTGACAGAAGCTTCAGTTTTCAGTTTGGCCCCTCATCTCTGCCCTCTGCTTTGTGGTTGCTGGATGCGGAGGTGTCTGTCCACTCTTCTGGGGCATTTGATCTCTTTTGTTTCCAGCTCATGCCTTGCTTTCTTCAGTTGATTCTTTAAGCTTTCAGTTAATTTCTTTAATTGGCTCACTATTAATTATACGGAATGGTGGTTTTCATGTGGCATATTCATATATATATATATATATATATATATATATAAATAAATGCAATTTGAAAAACTTCACTCCTCAGTACCTCTCCCATCATTCCTGCCTCCCTCCCCTTGATTCCCTTCCTGTACCCATGGTCTCCCTTCTACTTTTATGGCTTTTTTTTTTTTTTTTGGCCTGCTTTCCCCCTCTAGTTTCTACACGTAAGAGAAAACATGTGACCCTTGTCCCTGAGTCTGGCTTATTTTTCTCAAAATGATGGTTTCTTTTTCCGTCCATTTTCCTGCAAATTAACCATCATTCTGTATAATTAATGTGTAAGTTTGAATATTTAGATAAATACATACAAGAAAATAAAATTAGATTTTCTATATCTAGACCTTTTTACTCTAATACCTTAGTTTAATGGTATATATATTTGTAAGAGTTCTTTAGCCTCTTGACATATTTCCATTTCTTTTTAATTCCTTATGCTTTATTTTCTCTTTTACTTCCTTTCTCTGTTTATTTTAGTCTCTGTTTGTAGAGGAAATACTCTGGGCTAAATGTTAAATAACTGGTCAGGTAGCTCTAGTCTCCTTTTATCTTTATCTCGGTGATATCAAATTGGCCCAAAGATGTGTGTTTATTTTGTATTTCTGTAGGAGGAGAAAAGCACACTGGTGGTGGCAGGGAGTCTGGCAGTGATGCCTGGAAACAGTACATGAGACGATCTACTTGGTAAGAGAGGACTTTGGGGCCATGTTGGGCATGTGCTGTTAAATTCTACTTTCTGTTTTGTCTTTGTGCAATTTCACTTGGTTTGATTTTTCTATCATTCTACAGCTATATTCTCCTAACAAGTTGATCATCTAATCCAAAATGCTCTAAAATCTGAAATAATTTGAGTGATGACAGTAGGCCACATGTGGAAAATTCCACTCTTGACCTTATAATGGGTTAAAGTCAAAATGCAGGTGCACTAAAAATGCATAAAATTGCTGTGTGTGTGGTATATATGAAACCTAAGTGAACTTCATGTTGAGCCTTGAGTTCCATCCCCAAGATGTCTCATGTACATGGCATGTGGTGCTATGTTGTAGAAAGAGCCCTGGGTGAAGAACACAGAGGCATCCTTCCTAGTCCCTCTCTGCTTCTCACCAGCTCAGTAGGCTGAGCTGGGTTCCTCCCTGTTGACTCCTTATAGCCTCAGTAACTGCTTTCCTATCTGGGACTTCTGAGGAGCTTTAGATGTGGCTTGTTGAGCCCCAAACATGCACCCTCTTTGCTGGCTTTTCATTCTTTGAAGTCAGTCTTATCCTGTTTGCTTTTCTTGTGTACCCAAAGAGCTAGACAGGCAAATATTTAGCTATGGCTTTTCTGAATCCATTTAGTGGGGATACTTTTCCTCTTGGGAAAGAAACCCAGTGACTCTCAGATGAGTAGTTAATAGGGAAGCTTCTAATTTATAAATTATTTTATTTTCTTAAATTTTATTTTTATCGAAAGGCAGCGGAGCACAACAGACACTAGTATGGCAATTTGTAAATCAATGGATGTGTAACTGATGTGAATCTGCAATCTGTGTATGGGGTGAAGGTGGGAGTTCATAACCCACTAGAATCAAAGTGTGGAATATGATATGTCAAGAAATTTGTAATGTTTTGAACAACCCACAATAAAAAATTAAAAAAAAAAAAAAAAAAAAAAAAAAAAAAAATTTTATTTTTATCAAAATGGGAATATTTGTGGTTTTTTAAAAATAAATAATTCAATACAAGTTATTTAAATTATTTTTATTTTTGTGGTCCTGGGGATTGAACCCAGGAGCATTTCACCACTGAGCTATATTCCCAGTCCTATTTATTTATTTTTTGAGACAGGGTCTCACTAAGTAACTTAGAGCCTCACTAAATTGCTGTGGCTAGCCTGGAACTTGTGATTCTCTTACCTCAGCCTCTCAGGTTGCTAGGATTACAGGCATATGCCATCATGTCCAACTCAATACAAGTTATTGAGAGATACAGAAAGATACAGTCTCCATATGCTTGAATCCTGCTCAAAAGAAATGCTATGAGTGATATGTGTAATATGTCTTTCAGACTTTTGTGTTTCTTTTTCTTTTATAAAACTGGATCCATACTAACATTTGTTTTGTGTCCTAAATTTTTTTCTTCACTAATTTATAGTGTGTATGTGTGTGTGTGTGTGTGTGTGTGTGTAGTTGTTTGTTTGTTTTTGTATTATTGGGAATTGAACCCAGAGGTCTCAACCACTGAGCTATGTACCTAGTCTTTGTTTTGTTTTTAAATTAAAAAAAAATTTTTTTTTCTTGAGATAGGATTTTGCTAAGTTGCTGAGGCTGGCCTCAAATCTGTGATCATTCTGCCTCCTGAGTAACTGAGTTTATAGGCATACACCTCTGTGTCTGGCTAAATAGATCTGTATTTTTTAATGGCATAAAAGTATTCTATATTATATTTACATACTACCAGCTATTAATTTTGTTCATTTTTCTCCCTCTAGTACCATCAACTACAGTAAAGACCTTCCACTGGCTCAAGGAATCAAGTTTCAGTAAAGGTGCTCTCAATTGGCCTTATTTTAGTAAGGTCTTTTAGGCATTCCTGTAGCTACTCTAAAGAAGACCAAGAAAATTAAGATTTACTCTGAATAAATGCATCATCCTGAATATGACATTGGCTAATATCCTATGACTCCCCACTCCAAGCCCTGACTAAATCAAGAGATTCATTTTTTATAACTTAAAATATTTACAACATAACCATATTTAGTAAAAAAATAGGTTGGATGGATTTTTTTTTGTTGTTGTTACTAGTTGTACATGATCATTTTATAATTAGAGAAAGCACACACCTTGGTAGTAATCTGGGAACATATGGGATAAAATAGAGAACAAAATAGAAGACTTTATAGTAAATGCAGGATGTCTCCTAGGTAAAAAAGGAATTCCTATGTGGAGCAAACCCTCCTCTGGCATGTTTTGGAAAAGGTGTGATTGAAAGGGAATGTGTCCTTACTTATATGCTGAGGACCCTAGCACAGTGTTCTTGGGGGATGACTTGCTATGTTTAAAATGACAGACGGTATTTATCGCTAGTCATGGCTCTTGCTATATTTATGTCAACTTGGGATAGATCTGCAGGGGGGATGTAAATTATGCTAAGGGCTCTGAGGCCAAAGATCCCTGCGAGAATGCTATTGAAACCATGTCTGGATGCCTCATGCTACCTTAGGCTGTTTTCTTTAGCTGTTAGAAGCCATCAAATACAAAACTAAGGGGCTGGAGTTGTGGCTCAGTGATAGAGCGCTTGCCTGGCATGTGTGAAGCACTGGGTTCAATATCAGCACCACACATAAATAAGTAAGTAAAATAATGGTATATTGATAACTTAAAAAATTATATATATAACAAAACAAAAAAGGGCTTGGTATAGATCTATTTATCCTTAAAAAATACACACACACACACACACAAAACAACTATAAATATACCAGGGATGGAAAGATATTCATGATGTGTTCCATGCTCAGCTGAGAATAATATTTACCTAGCTATACTGTTGTCACCATTGAAATATGGATCAAGCCAAGTACAGATGATAAACCTAGAGAAAGGATGTTGGCAGGAAGAAATCAGATGAGGGTAGATGGAAAGCAGTTCTTCATTTTCTGTAATAAGAAATCAACACTTCCTAAAATAACTAAAGCAATCAGTAGCAACATGGGCTTGCTTATTAAGAGAAGAAGGTAAGTTCTGAAAGATCCATTGCTAGGAGCTTGGAGCATGAGACATAAGAGTTTCAGAACTGTTTGATTATTTAAATCAATCAAGAGAATGTTTAACTGATAATAATTAACATTAATTCATAATGTTGCAGTCCTACCTGGAATCCTGCGTTTCTAGATCCTTCTTCCCCCTGCCTCTCCCCATTTTTTTCTCCCCATTATTGAACTGAAGACTGCTTTTAAATATCTCATGAAATGGTCCTACTGAAAGTCAAATTTCCCTCCATATTTTCAGATTCAAAATAGACTTGAATCCTATACTGAGAGAGAGATGCTTCTAAGAGTAAGCACTAGTTTAAGAAAATCATGCAATTTGGTCATTAACTATAAATATCTTGCTATGGTTTTTATTTTTTGTGATATGTTTAAGTATTCTAGTCCTTTTTCATTTATGTCTGAAGAAAGTTAAGCATTCTTTAAAACACTTTTAGGCTGGAGTTGTGGCTCAGTGGTAGAACACTTGCCTCTCAAGTGTGAGGCATTGGGTTCGATCTTAGCACCACATAAAAACAAATAAAGGCATTGAATCCATATACAATGAAAAATAAATAAAAAACTTTTAATGATCACATCACAATAGGCCGTTTTCATTTTGTGAAATTATGCAGATTTATTTTTGATTGATGTCTTCATATCCTGTCTTTATATACTTTATATCCTGTCTTTATATCCTGTTTTCCCAGCATCATATTTTAAAACAAGTGTTCCAGAATAAAAGCTGTATCAGTGTTCACTTTGATTTCAAATGTTTTATGTTTAATAATTTTCCTCCAGTTAGGAGGGAAGCTCTCCATCCTCCTGTGTGCCTGCTGGGGTTGTTATGGTGGCCACTTTGTAATGACATCTCTTGGATGTTGGTTAGAGGAGGTGACTGGGGTCTATAATCTTGGGTGTCGAATTCCTGAAAGCTCTCTTTGAAGCTACTACATAATTTTTCTACTCATGTTTCTGAGCACAATAAGGAGTCATTTTTTTTGTCATAATGTTCATTAAAACTTTTGCCTTTGAATTGTTCCTCTTTGTTCTTTTTTTTTACTGACTTAAATAGAAGTTGCTTAGTAATATTTTTAGCCACAGAAATTAAAATGTACATCTGCATGTGTCTCTGCTTGCTATGGTATTTGAAGGTGCTAGGAGCCTTGAATTGCTAATTACTGGTTATATTGAACATTTTGTGACTGCTGCTCCTCCCTCCTAAATCCTGTGTCTGGCCACTACTACTGCTGGCAGTTCCCAGCCCCCATTGTGCAGTTGTGGACTGTGGTTAGCAGGCTTGGATCTGGTAAACCCTTACAATCTTAGGATCCTGCTGTACTGCAGTCCCTCGAGAGACTGCAGGCTTTGTGGCCTCATAGGAAGTGGCTCTGTGGTTCCCTAGGAAGTACACGGAAGACCTGGCTTCTGGCACGCATGATGAAGACTTCACACAAGGGAAATCGCAATGCCATTATGTTCTACGCTCCTCTCTCCTTTAATCTTTTCTCTCTTGCTCTGCAGCCACAGAACATCGCGATGTTGTCTCCTGGGAATTCTGAAGAGACTGGGACATACTCTTCACCTCCTGTGGTTCCCAACACACACATTGTCTTATACCTATTGATTCACTTGTTCTCATATTTTCCTGGTCCAGGAGATGTTTGCAATGGTGATCATTTTTGCAGTTTGTAACTTCTGCAAGCTTACCACCCCTTCCACATAACTATTCGTGTTTGGTTTAATTTGTGGTATTTGTTGGTCTTAAGGTTAAAGAAGACCATGAAGGAATTATGGTATGTGGGGCTACCATTCTTCAGTTCTAGAAACCTGATATATTTTGATGTACTGAAGTCTTGAATTTTTCATATAGTCAAATCTTGAACTTTTGTAGTTTTCCAATTTTGGTTTAGAAACTTAGGTCACAAATGTTTTCCTCTGCATTTATTTTTTTATTTTTGTTCTCTGAAATGGGTTCTTGCTATGTTGCCCAGGTTGGCTTTAATTCCTGGGCTTAAGCAATCCTGTCTCAGCCTCCTGAGTTGCTGGTATTAGAGGTTCATATCACTGGAGGTGTACTATATTCTTTGTCTTTTTAAAAGTCAAAAGTAATACTTGTATGCAGTTAGATATTCAAATGGGCTAGGATCTTTGTAATAAAAAGCAGCTTATGTTCTCTGGACCAGTCAACCCATCATTTCTGTTTTACTTCCATATTTTTGAATTTGTATTTTTAAACTCCTAACAAAAACTACATATTAATGGGTGCTATGTGCTTTGATTCGTGTATACATTGATTTACATTAGGTTAAATGTATCTAATCAAATATGTAAAAAACATTTCAAATCCTTTCCTATAGCTTTTTGAAATATGTGTCATGCATGGCACCCTACTGTGCAACAGCACACCAGAACTTCTTGCTCCTGTCTCACTATAATCCAATGATCACCCTCTCCCTACTGTTCCCCTGCCCATTCTCCCAATCTCTGAACCAACATTTTACTCTCAACTTTGATGAAATCATTTTTTTTTAGATTCTATATATGAATGAGATCATGTGGTTCTTGTCTTTCTGAGCCTGCTTATTTTACTTAACATAATGACCTACCATTCTATCCATGTCACAACTGGCAGAATGTCATTTATTTATGGCTGAATAGTATTCCATGGTCCCTATATTCCTTTTCTTCATCAGCTGATGCACATTTAGATTGTTACCATTTCTTAGCTGTTGCTTTTGTTGCAATGAACATGAGCACAGATATTTCTGTGGATCTTCTTTTCCTCTCTATTGCTTTATACTCTTCTTTTGCTGGAACACACCCTGCAGAAGTTTCCTAACAATGATTGTTTTGGGAGTAATTGGAAGGAAAAAAATCTCTCTCATCTAAAGGAAAAGACTTAATCTTCACATTGATTAGGATTCTGGATTTAAGATGTTGAGAAAGTTTATTTTTCTATTATAAATGTCCGTAAATATTTTGTGGTATTGACAGTTTAGTTCTGAATCAATTTGGGATTTAGGTTTATGTTGTAATTTATCTAAATTGTTTCCCACTCAAATATCTAAGTAATTCTCTTACCTCCAGTTTACAAGTGAGCTTTTTCTTCCCCAGTGATGACTCATATAACACACTGCATTCCTTTTAGGCTGTGTATTCTGGTTCAGTGTTTTGTGCATATACACACATGTACTAGATGTATTTTAAGTCTTGCAGGCTTTTACATTTATTAAATTTGTTTTAGAATTCTACACATATTATCTATGTGACCTTCATGAAGTAACCTTACCTCTTTGAGTTTCTTATCTTTTTTTAATACATATTTTTAGTTGTAAATGGATCTTTTACTTATTTATATGCAAACTGAGGATTGAACCCAGGTTTCACACATGCCAGGCAGTTCTTTGAGCTTCTTATCTATTATATGGGGCATATCAGTTTGGCTCCTTTGTTATAAGATAAAAAAATCTGTCTTTAGTACAAATAGAATTTTTTGGAAAGCATGCTGGCTAGACTGTTTGCCCCTTCAATATTCTCTCTCCTGCAGCGTGTCTTTGGGGGCTGACCTCTAAGTATTGCTTCATTTGGGCTGTTTTTGTCCTCTGATCTCTCTCTCTCTCTCTCTCTCTCTCTCTCTCTCTCTCTCTCTCTCTGTGTGTGTGTGTGTGTGTATGTGTGTGCTGGGGATGGAACACAGAATTTCACACATGCTAGATGAGGACTCTACCACTGAGCTCACCCCTAGCCCTTGTCCTGTGGATTTTGATCCTGTTTGGCCAGTGGTAGAAAATCAGAGCAGAGGAGGGAGGTCAGGGTGTTGTTCATCTCTCTATTTGCTCCCTGCCAGCCCTTGGTAACAAACTACATCTTAACAGCTGTCCCCTCTGCTGTGGCTACAAAAGCCTCTGCTAACACCACTCCCTTTCCTTAGGCTTCTGTTTGTAAGCTGAAATGGCTCTCTACTGATGCTTCCTGGGTTTGTCTCCTTACCCTAAGGCTAGCTAGCAGGTAATAATCAACCTTCCTGCCATAGCTAGCATGACTGAATTTCAACCTTTGTCTGTCTGTTTCTCTACTCAGTTCCTAGGAAGGAGCAAGCCATAGCATGAATCATTTACTTTGAAGTAATTTACCTGCCTCTTGGCTAAAGGAGAGCAAAAAACACCTAGATTAATAGCCCTAATGCTGAAATCAAGGTCAGATCATTTCCCTAAAGGAAATTGGAGTGATGTTTTCATAGGTTAAGACACAGTGATGCTGTTCAGCTTAGCTAATACATTTCCACCAAATAGGAAAGATAATATCTGTTCCACACAACCCTAAGGATAAAAAAAGAAAAATTATGAAAATAACATGTCTAGAGCATTGTGTCTGACACACGGTAAGGGCTCCATTAATATATTCTACTCTCATTAGGGTGTTTTTGACATTAGTTTTACAGTTTTATATATTTTGGTTATTTTCATAAATAAGGTTTAGAAACATTTTCAAGTGATAACTTAAAATGCTCAGGTTTTAAAAAAATCCATGTACATGATATGTACTTTGTTTATATATTTTTTAAAATATTTATTTTTTAGATATAGGTGGACACAGTGTCTTATTTTATTTTATGCGGTGCTGAGGATTGAACCCACTGCCTCACACATGCTAGGTGTGCACTCTACCTCTGAGCCACAGCCACAGCCCGACTTTGTTTATATTTTTAAGATTTCTTGCAAAATTTTATTTCATGCAGTGTCTTAAAAACTTTTAAGATTATTCCTGGCTGAGAGTGGTGGCACGTGCCTGTAATTCCAGGGTCTTGAGAGGCTGAAGCAGGAGGATTGAAATTTCTAAGCCAGCCTCAGCAACTGAGCGAGGCTGTGAAAAACCTAGCAAGACCCTGTCTCAAAAATAAAATATAAAAAGAGGGCTGGTACTGGAAAAAAAATTATTCCTATATATCTTATTATTTCAGTTATTGTAAGTGGGATCCCCCCTGCCTTATGCATACGCTATTTACTTTCCAAGATAAACTGCATTTGAGAATAGAAGCATGGGCCTAACCATTGCTCACCATTTGCTCTTTGCTTGTTACTGGGCCTGGATTTTAGAAATCCTGGCTGACTTGGATATTAGTAAATTTCCTTACGGTTCTGGCCTGTAGATGTCGCTGTTGGTCGGAGCAAACGCTTCTGTTGGGCAAGAAAGTGAGTTGATACTCTGGTATCCAGGAGGTTGCCAGGGGAAAGTTTTTACAGTCAAAAGACAGATACATTGAGCTGAGGGCCCCACTTTGCTCTTGGGCACCGTGACTAACCTCTGCCCTGCCACTCTTCTGTCAGCTACACAGACCACTCTAGCTTCTGTTAGTTACTCTTCTTGGGTAAAATAAAAGCCCCTAATGTCAGAGAAGTAGCAATGTTTGCCCATGATTGCAGGTTTCTATCTTTTCTTTTCAATTAAGGAATGTAGTTAAGTGGTTTTCTTTTCCTTCCACTCCCTCCTCCCCAGAGTGAGCATGCGTGAGATTATTCCATTATAGACAACTCCAGAGACATTCTTCCTGTCTTGTTTACATTTATCTGTCACTAAGTTCCAGGCACTTTTCAAAGTACTTAACAAATATGAACCCATGCATTTTTCATAACAATCTTAGGAAGTAGATACTATAATGATATTCGTTATTTGACGTTTTTGTTTTGTTTTTCGTGTGTTTTTTTTTTTTTTTTTGGTACTGGAGATTCAACCTAGAGGCATTCTACCACAGAGCCA